TATTATTATTATTATTATTATTATTATTAAAATGTGGGAGACTCACCCAAATGAAATGGTTCGATCTTAAAAAGAGAGTGTATACAGATTATGCAATTATAGTGGTTTGATATCACTTTGACTGCCGTGACCCCATTCTATGGCATTCTTGGATCTGTAGTTTTGAGAGGTGTCTTAAGAAGAGGGACTTTGGCAAGGGATGTAGAATTCCCAGCCAGAGATCTCTAATGTTGTATATCAGCGGTAGGCAACCTTTCCCCTTTAAGGGCCGAGGGACTTCAGCTCCCAGAATCCCAGGAGCTATTGGCCAACATGGGACTATTGGCCAACATGGCTGAGGCTTCTGGGAGCTGAAGTCCCTCGGCCCTTAAAGGGGAAAGGTTGCCTACCCCTGCTGTATGTAGTTCGGGAGAGTGGACTGGGGAATTTTAAGTATCTTGTCAGACTACAAATCCCAAGGTTCCACAGGCCATGGAGTTAAAGAGGTTTTAAGCCTTTATAACTGTGCAGCCTGAATACACCTGTAGAGTAGTGACCAGATCCACAAACATTGCTAAGGATGCCCTGCCATCTTTCCCTACCTGGTGCCTTTAAAATAGGTCAAACTACAATTTCCACCTGACTTTGAGTGATGGCTATTGTTGTACAAGAAATTTGGAAGGCACTAAGGTTGGGAAAACTGTCTTGAAACACAGGAGGAGTGCCTGCCCATGTTGCTGAAATCATGAGGAATCTGTATTCCGATTCAGAGGAATTATTTTTTTAATATTTGTGTATTTAAATTAACATACTTTTGTTCTGCTTCTCAGCCTAAGACTAAAGATGGTTAAAAAAAAGACATGCTTTAAAATGGCTATTCTTAAATAATTAAACATTTATTGTGTTGATTTTAAGGTTGAGGAGGGGAAGGGAAAACAAGCAGAAGGCTACACAAGAGGGGTTGAATAAGTGACAAAGGGATACATCATGACCCAGAGAAAAAGAAATGATGCTTGTAGAGATGCAGGTGATTGTGAAAACAAGCATGGTTTGTTTCTGACTTATGATGACCCTATTATGGGGTTTTCTGAGGCTGAGAGTGTGTGTGCCTTGCCCAAGGTCACCCAGTGGGTTTCTATGGCCGAGCAGGAAATTGAACCCTGGTCTCCAGAGTCATAGTCCAATACTCAGACCACTACACCATACTGACACACACGGTTACTACCTGTTTTATTCATAAAGAGGTGTCTAGCTTTAAATTCCGTAGGGCAGGCAGGAACACAACAGGTGTAGCTTTTCATCAGTTGTGATCTGGGCCAAGCTGGACCTGATGAGTTTCTGCCTGTCATATTTAGAGTCACAAAACTTCTCCTCCTCCCCTTCAGAAAAGGCAGAAGCACCTAACATGTGTATTTTGTCTCTGCTCCATGCAGCGATGGCTCAATACGAGACCGGAAAGGGCAGCTTGTGAATCTCTACCCAGAAGTACTGGCTGTGCTGGAGCGATTACATGGTCAGGGGATCCCCATGGCTGCTGCGTCACGGTGAGTCACAATCCAGCCTCCTTTCAGTTTCTTTGGACTACAGTCCTCAGCATTCCCCCCATTGGCTATGCTGGCAAAGGCTGCTGGGACTTGTAGTCCAGCAACATCTGGCAGCCACATGATTCTCATCCCTGAGACAAAAGAGTTTATCACATAGAGGAAATTGGGAGTTTAAACAATCATTAACCCTTGAAAATCGCACAATTGACATTAAAACGTGCTTAAAACGATATTAAAGCAAGTGCCATTATCCCATATAGAACCAGGGAACAACCAGGCAAGAAACAGCAAAAAGTCATTCATGGGAAAATTCCATGAATGAGTTCCTGTTGTTTCTTGCCTAGTTCTTCACAGGATTATGGCACTTTAATCACGTTTCATCTCAACGTCGTGTGAAAAACATTAATGCAATTACGCCCAAGTGTGGGTTAAACACAGATTCTGCACGGGATAGCAGCACTTTGCACGCTGACGTCGTGTGAAAACCATTCACACAATTGTGGGTTAATCACAGGTTAATCACCGTTTATACTTCCAATTTTCCCCCTTGTGATAAACTCCAAACAAAGTTTATTATTCCATTAGCTTTTGAGGATTATAGTCCAGTCTGTTTCCATGTTTCGGTCTCCACCATAAGAGCATGAAACTTAGCTACCTAAAAGGAAAATCTGGGTGCATGTCTCTGTAGTTTCAGTTTTAAAATAGATTGATGAATTTTAGTTAATTAAATATTGCCCATAGCCTGAAGCAGTGCTTCTATCTTATAAGGGGAACTGGCAGTGTTTTCTTCCAAAGTGTGCCAGAGACTGGTACCATATTTTGTCCATTGTCTATCACTGTTTCTTTCTTTCCTAGAGACTTTCCAGTTACCAGCAGCAGATGACCTGGGGACTAGCACAAGTCTATGGATCACTTTGAGTAACGCTGGCCTACAGTACCAAGTGTAGCCTCTACTTGCCCTTAATCTGTCCTAAAAGCTGGAGATAGGTCTAGAAGGCTGCTGCCACGGTTTTAACTGCCACAGCTCAGTGCTATGGAATTCTGGGATTTGTAGTTTTGTGAGATATTTAGCCTTCTCAGTCTGAGAGCTCTGGTGCCACAACAAACTACAAATCCTAGGATCCCATAGTGTTTAGCCATGACAGTTAAAGCAGGGTCAAACTGCACTAATTCTGCAGTGTGGCATCAGCCTTAATCCATGCTAAGTGAACTCAACTATTATTTTATTCCTTTACTTGCCCTCGACCCCTCTCTTCCCTGCAGGACAAGTGAAATCCAAGGGGCTACCCAGCTCTTAGATCTCTTTGGCATCAATCTCTACTTCCGTTACACAGAGATCTACCCAGGCAGTAAAGTGACTCATTTCCAAAGGTAAGCCCTAGCTGATCTTACCTCGGGGACCTCTCTCCTGCCAAAATCCCAAATATATCCCTCTTTCTCCTCTGTTACAAATTATATTCTCCTTTGTGCTTCTGCTTGAATTTTTAAAAAAACTCTTACTCCATTTTACCCCCATAAACTCCAGACTAGAACTTCTGAATGGCAACTTGCCAGGAAATTCAGTTATTAAATGTGCATTCTGAATCAGAATGGGAGGTAACCAGGAGTTAGTGGCCGAAATGGTAAACTAAAGGTCTAGAAACCAAGCCTTGAGAGGGACTGTTGAGGGAGTTGAGGATGGTTAACTTGGGACCTTATCCCACGGGGCCAAAAGCAGCAAGAATCCACTAAGAATCAGGCGCTATAGCGCTATACATTCCCGGGTGATCACACGACGTCGCTCAGAATCGGCTAAGAATCAGGCGCTATAGCGCTATAGTTTTCCGGGTGATCACACGACGTCGCTCAGAATCCAACAAGAAACCGCTCGGAATGCAGCATCATTCGGGTTCTTTTGAATGTCGGTTTCAGCGGGCATTGCAATAGCGCGAGCTTATCCATAGCGCTATTATAGTGCTAGCGCCATATTTATACTAGCGCTATAGTACTGCAATGATGCTCATATCGCTTTCTTGCCGCTTTTGAGAGCAGCATGGGATAAGGTCCCTGGAGAAGAGAAGACTTGGGATATAATATGAGGGTGATCCAAACTGGTGAAAGGTCTAGAAACCATGCCCTATGAGGAGTGACTTAGGGAGCTGAGTATGTTTAGTCTGGAAAAGAGAAGGTGAAGAGGTGACATGATAGCCATGTTTAAATATTTGAAGGGATGTGATATTGATGCTGGAGCAAACTCGCTTTCTGCTGCTCCAGAGAATAGGACTCAGAACAATGGATGCAAGCTACAGGAAAAGAGATTCAGCCTAAACATTAGGAAGACCTTCTTGACAGTTAGGGCTGTTCAACTAGTCGCTGCCTGGCAATCCCCAGCCCCAAGTTACCTCATCTTCGTCTACAGAGATTCCTAGTGAATCTCAGAGTGTGGTGGAGTCTCCTTCTTTGGAGATTTTTAAATA